CTCTAGACCTGCCACTTGGGGGTTGACAACCTGACCACTTCACTAGGTCGCCACACCCCTTGTCTGTTACAATATTCTTTTTGTAGGTTTATAATTATAATTAAAAAGTTTTCATTAAAATTTTTTTTTCAATAAATAAATTTTTTTTTTAAAAAAAAAAATTAGATTAAATAACTTATACAGTTATTAGTTTGACTTCTTTCTTCATTATTACTGTTTACTGTACTATAAGAGATTATATTATTAATTAGTAATAAGACTCTCCTGTCTTTAACCTAAAATTTATAGTCTAGATCCTTTAACTATTCTTCAAAAATGTTTTGTTTTATCCATATATTTGCATTATTTTTATAGGTTACAAGTAATGCAGAACAATCTTTAATCTTTTTAAAGCAACATGATTTATTAGATTTACTAATAACAAGAGGTTTGAGTTTTTTACTACTTGTAGAATTTGTTGTTAACATTATTGTCAGTTGACTTTTATTCTAAAAATTAATAAGATATATTAGTAGTTATTTATTGGATTAGATATGAGTGCTGTATAGAGAAAACCAGGAAGTGAATATTTAAATTATTACTGTAACTTCTGCTACAATGATAACTTAAATAATCACTTCCTGGTTTTTTTTCTGAAACATTCATATTACCTTTTTTTTCAAATACAGGGCTAGATAATAAAGTTTAATTGGATTTCATTTTATAGAATAAACCTGTCTTATTAGTATTGAATACATTTTTAGGTTGTTACTTTGCAATTAGAGTTCTTAATTCATTTTGCATATTCAATAATAATTCAATTAGTGCAGTATTGGCTTCTTTATGAATTTATGCATCTTTAAATTATTTCTTTGCTTAAATCCACTTAACTATCTATTAGAAAACTTTATATCTTTAATAGAAATATTCATAACCATTGCATAATAATAAGCTTTTTTGCATAATAAATTTTTTAAAATTGATAAACCAGATGCTACTGCTTGATTAATCCAAATATTAAGAGCTTTTTCTAAATCTGAATGCTTAACCCTACACTTATGAAAAGTATTATTAATAGTTTATTAACTGTAAAATTCATTTATTATTCTTTATCAGATAGAAGTTTAAGATTGTTGACTTATCTAAATTTAATTGATATTTAGAATTAAACTCATCTTTAATCTCATTTTGTGTTTTATTTGGATTTCTTTGTTTAAACAAACAGATTTCTTTTTTTAGT